TGAGTTAGCACTTCCAATGGTTTAGCAGCCATAATGATAGAGAAATGTGGGTTCTCTAAGGCTGACAGGGATGTGGCAACAGATTGAGCAACGGATTGGAGGTAGAGGGTAAGGAAACTGTAGTAAGAGTAAAGCAATTAGGGAGATGGTGACAACATTTACCTAGAGAGGCACCCAAAAGAACAAGGAGACCTGAGTGCAAGAATGGAAGGGCTAGGGGAAAGAGAGGTTCAGTCTAGACACATGAAAACTATAGTTCCTGGCAGAACTGAAGGAATAGGGTGACAACTGGATGGATGGTCCGGGTGCCAAGAATAAGGATAATGCATCATTTTTTTTCTGGTCAACGATTATTTTTCATCTTTCTACAACACGTAAAATTTGGTATTTAGACACCCCGGACAAGTAAAAGATCTGAAATATTGGTTAATTCTTAAGTATATAAAAATTTTGTACATGATAAAGGGGAATATTTTTTACTCAGTGAACAGTGCTAGAACATTTAAACAACCACTTGAGGAAAATAAAGTATGAGCTTTAAAAAGTTTTGTATCTGAAATAAGACTCAAATATATTATTCCCATTTCCTGGATTAAATGTCTCTTTTTTTGTGGGTGTTAAGGTTTGAACTCATGGCTTTGCAATCACTTAGCTTGTGTTCTACCATTTGAACCAGTCTCAAGCTCAGCTCTTTTGCTGGCTATTTTGGAGATGAAGTCTGGACTTTTTTTCCCAGATGGTAGCTGAGATCCTGTGTATCTCAGCCTCATGAGTAGCTGGGTTTACAGGCATGACCATTCCATAGTTTGAAGTATTTTTTTAAACGCATACAATTCTATTAGAAATGTTACAGTACAGAGTAACAGTTATTCAACAGTGTTTATAATTTACTGAGCACTTTTTAAAAGAAGCACATGAACATGAATTCTGTTAGGTTTCTCAGAAACTTTGAAACAGACACTATTAGCACCTTCATTTTACAGTTGAGGAAACTAAGGTGCAAAGAATCAAGTAGCATCCTAGTTACAATGCTTGATAGTGCTTATCAAGTAATTAGCACCCAGTACCAACTCTCTGGAAGGCACTTCCATGTGACTTAAACACAGAAGTCAACAAAGGGAGAACTGAAGTAGAAAACCAAAATGTAAAGCTTCTTAATGGAAAAAATACAATTAAAGACAAATCATAACACAGATGTAGAAGAAAACAGTTCGAACAAATGTCAATGGCTAACATTACTGATATACAAATAGTGTTACAAATCAATAAGAAAAACAATTCTATCTCATATGTGAAATGAAATACACAAGAAGCACCATGAAATTATGAGTCAATACAAAATGCACAATATTATCTCAAAGCTAAGACACACAAGCTAAGATGAGAAACCATCTTTCCTTGCAAAACTGATTGATCCCAGCGCTGACAAGAACATGGGGCAATTGTCACTCTCACATACTACCAGGCAAATGTAACCTGACACTATATGTCATGGACATCAGGCGATATGACCACATTTTTAATATGCATATCCTGGGACTCAGCAATTCACTTTGGAATATTTATTTTATATAATTAAAGTCATACTGAATGCAAAATATATATCAAAGTAAGTCACTAGTGCTTAATATAGCAACAAACACACAATATACATGTCTAAAAATAGGAAACTGGCTAATCAATATGACATTATAAGATAGACTATTATGTAGTTAGTCCTTAGGACAATAGTTCCAGGGTAAGGGGCCAAAAGTGGTAGAGCCCTGTCAGCAGTAGCAGGACCTGAGTTCAAATCCTAGCAAGGGAAGGGGGATGACAAACAATAATCTATGCTCACTAAGATTGCCAGAAAATAGTGTTACAGAGAAAAGTGAACTTTTTCAGTTGTATGCACAGTATTGTCCTATTTTTTAAATGACAAAGATAATATTTATTCTATCTCCTATTAAGATAACATTTTTTAAAATGTAAATTGTTTCTGTTATTTTCAAAGGGCTGTCAATCACTTTTTTTTTTTGCCAGCAATACCCTTAAAGTATGTTATAATACAGTCTAACACATGGAGGTATCGGTGTACTGGAATATATAACATCCAAAATAAATTTAGATCGAAACATAAAGCCCTTTCCAGCAAAATAAATATTTATATCAATTGGTCTTATATTTTTTGCTTGGTCTTGCAGTTCAAGGCACTGAACTCTGGGTCTTATGCACTCTAGCCAACATTAAGGTAGAGTGTTGCTTATACATGCACGTATGCATGTATATATTATACATGCATGTATAACATTCTTATTATCTTTAAGTAGTTGTAAAAGTTACCATGCAACAAATCAGTTTGTGAATACAATGTATCTTGGTCCATGTCATCCCTTTCATCATTCTCCTCTTAATTGTTTAAAATGTAAATCCAATGAAAAGAAAGGAAGAATACCAGTTGAAATCTAAAAAAACCCCAGTAACAAGAAAATCTAAACAAAAAATTGTTCCATAATTATGTAACTTAATCAATACTACAAAGCTGGAATAGAATGCCTGATACCTTGAAATCTAGAAAAAAGGTCTGAATATACTGGTGGTGGCCTAATTCTTATTGTTTCCAAGAAATTGCACAGTATAAAACGATACAGGCCATAGAAAAGTAAAAAGCTTTTCAACATAGACAATCCACAAGACATTTCTAATGAGTAGTCTCCAATTTTATATAAATCTCAAGTACACCTCCTTTATTTAGTATCAAAGGTGTAGAACTACATCATTCACTTAATAGTTTTACTACTTCAAGAATCAGAAAACTTCCCACACACAAACTTCTCACTTTAAATCACTGAAACAATGGAAACATGATAACTTTTAAATAATGTGCCACAGTTGCTATTATAATTCTATATAATCTTGATTGCCTTTACTTTGTGTTAGAAAACTGCTGTTCCAAAAGTAATGCTAAAGGTTGCCATGATTTAATAAATATATACTCTGAGGCTACTCAGGTGGAACTCACTGTACCAACACCAGATGGCCCCCTGCTGCTGTTAAAATATCCTCTTCCTGCCTCCACCTGTCTAGCCTTCAAGAGATTGACCAAATTCACTGCTGAAAGGGAACTGGCCTCTTGTAGTGCTCACACGGCCCACCTATTCTGCTTTTAACTGCTGCACGCTAAGGCCACCAAATGAACAAGACTGCAAGGACAACACCTTAAACAAGGGACAATCCCAAGCAAATGCCCTGAGAACTCTTCTCAGTGTAAAATCAAAGGACTTCAAAGCACAGATTTTGTTTCAGACCGTTTGGCTGTTCAGACTTTTTTCTTCTCAGTGCTAAACCATGTTCTAGATAAGGAAAGTTGTTGGGTTTAGTTACCACCAATACGTTTTCTGTTACATGGCTTCTTGACTCCTGAAATCTCATACACTATTTATCCAGCACATTATCTTTTCTTCAATGAAAAGATGAACTTCTCTTTATCCCAATTGATTTATCAAATTCATGAATTTTTGATGAAGTAGGGGTTTTGAGACAAGAATCCTAAAAGTGATATTATATAATATTCTGAGAACTTGAAAAAAGAAATAGTTAATATTAATATGACACCTTTATGTATACTTTTATTCTCTCTCTCTGCCTCCTTTCTAGTTCAGAAGGATCACAGACATATAGCAAACCCTTTTAACTCTAACATGGAGCCCTGTGGCTCAAGTAGTAGAGCAGTAGCCTTGAGCTGAAGAGCTGAGGAATAGTGCCCAGACCCAGAGGTCAAGCCCCATGACCAACGTACATGCATACAGTGGGTTTCCTAACTCCGTAACATTACATGTGGTATGACTAGTTGCTTCATACACCTTTAGCCATCCTCTTTTCACTACAGGGCACCAGGCATGTCCACAATTCCAATAAACTTCCCAGTAAGACTGTCTCAAACCTTTGGTTTGGAAACATCAATAGTCTAGGGCTTTGCTGGTTAACTTTGTGTCAGCTAGGTCATAAACTACATCTGATTAAGGGGGAAGAACAGTTGATCCACTAGTTTAAACATGCCATGGCATTATCCCTCTTTTTCATATTCACCAGATAATTACTAAGTATCCAATGAACCAGGCATTTTGCTAGGTGCTGGGTCCCCGACCCAGCCACAGGTACTGCTTACACAGGTTTTATGGACTTCTTATTTAACCAATGAGAAAACAAGTTACCTTCTCACTGACAGGACTGGACACTGAGGAAGGGGTTCCCAAAGAAAGTGTGACTGGGCTAAGATCTCAGCCATGAGGAGCTGACCTGGAGACTGAGGCCAATGGAAGGAGATTGCAAAAGCTGGCAGGCGGCAGGAGGCGGTGGGCTGATCTCGAGGAGAGGAAAGAAGGCAAGCGTGAGGACAAGAGCAAGGGTGAGCAAGGACAGACTTAGAGAGGGGACAGGCAAAACCATGCGCAAATTTGGTAGGGCATGTTAGGGATTCATTTGGACCTTATCCAAATGAAAAAACTGAATTTTAAAACATTTTAAAATCTGATTTTCTTCACTTTTATTGAGGAAGATCAGAATTACATTTTGAAATGCTAACTCTGGACACAAAATATGGGAGCACATTGGAAGTAGAACATAGAGAGGGCAAGAAGAGGCTGTTGTTCTGTTAGTACAAAAGACAAATGATAGCCTGGGCTAGGGATGTGCAAATAGGCCAAATGGTGAGCACTCTAGAACGAACAGAGTTGAGAGGAATGAGGATGACTCCTAGGTTCTGATTCTGCTTTTTAATGAGCAGGGAGCATGTTAGCAGAAGATTTAGGGAGGACTGCAAATTTGGTTTGGGATATCTAAGTATGAAGTGTATGTAAACTGCTATAATCCTGGCGTTTAGGAGAGGCCATGGACAGCAAAACAAGCTGTAATTCTTCGTGAATGGTCAATCATCAACCTAAGGGCATGTGTGAGTCTTAAGTACAGGTGGAGGAGAGAGAATGAGTAGACTAGGTCTGTCTTGAAGATCTTAACATTACTGTTTCAGAGGATGAAGACTGGCCACCAAGAAAGCACTGCCAAGGTTACGGAGGGCCTACCCAAAAAGCAAGCACCTAGACACTTTCAAATACAGGAACTCAATTTTCTCAGTATTTGACAGTTTTTGAGCATGGCTCCAATTATTTTAATTGACTGCTAAATACTAACTACTGCTACCAAACACCAGCAATGTACAAAAGACATTGTCTGAACAATGTACCAACTCATATTGGCAGATGGTACAAATAAGAAGATAAAATTCCCTTTCTGTTAACAACTAATATTTAGTACTCAGAATGCTGTAAGACCAGTTTGAAGATTATTCGATAACGTATCAGCGACATGATTTAAGTAATAAAGAAAGCTTAGCTTCCACCTACAACCAATTATCTAACCTCTCTTCACTCCATACACACCCAACAACACTGAATGCATGTGATAAACTTAGTTAATATGCTGACTCCAGCACGGAATACATTGTACCAGTAGCTCCAGAGACTTCCTCCAGTCTGCAAGAGTCCATTGGTCACACTGCATTCCCGGCTGAAATATGTATTTTCAGAAATAGGCATTCGGTAGGACATAACAATTTTTTCTAAGCATTCAAGAACTTCTCAACCAATTACATCAAACTTTCAAGACCACCACTACAAAGGATCCAATCACTAACAATGTAGAACTCAGAACTCTCCTCCATAGCAAATGTACCTATACCAATTGTCACAGTCATGAGTAGATAAAGACAAAGGTATCTTCTTGATCAGCTTATTCTCTAGAATATGGTTTATATTTCCCTATGGTGGTTTCTTAAGAAGCAGTGCTGCTTTTAGTAATAACACAGAACAGATTTTTAAAAACCAGCTTTGGCAAATACTAAATTTCTTACCCTTAATACCTTCATTTTAATTTCTTCTTGGAAGAAAAAAAATCATGTCTAAACTTGCAACTCTAACATATATTCCTACTGCTTAAGAGAGTAGGTAGAACTAATTTGAAACCTGTGTCTAGATTTTTTTTTTCTTTACTATGGTCCAAAACCATAGCATGTATATCCTAAGAGTGAGCACCTAAGGAAACAGTACATACTAGCAGAGCAAATGCACAAACAGAGGGTAGAACAAGTTTGTCCCTAGTAACTACTAACGTGGAAGACCAGTTACTTCCTCAGTAAGTTCTAAAGATATTATTATACTTATTAAAAGAATAGAGTATGAAATGTTGTGGATGAGATACAGAGCACTAATTTAATCTGGGTGCCCTCCATATTTCTGTCTTGGACTGCTGAAGATGGCATTGTGAAATACGTTAATGCTACAACAAACCAACCAAAACAGAGGCTGTGCACTCATGACCGTTGTCTCTACCGCCCAGACTACATCTTGCAGAGGTTCCCAAATGGTGAATGAATGAAATCTAAAGCAGTAACAAAGGGATAACGTCTAGCAATATTGGAAGTTTCCCTCCTTGTATGATCAATATGAATGAGCTTTTCTCTTTTCACTTATAATATGGCACAAATAAATCTGACAAGCATATAATACTGATCATTTATTTATTTTCTTGGATTAGGAAGATATAAATAACATATACTAATGCCCATACAAGTCCAGATTATAGAAAGGTATGTATCATAGAAATATTTTCAGCTAGTGGTCTATTAGTCCTCCTGTAGAATGTCCTCTTTAAAATTTATTAATTATTCTTGATTATTTTGAAAACTGAAAAAGGAGGTCGCACAGAGAAATGAAGAGTAGACTTTGGAACTGTACTGACTTGGGGTTCAGTCCTAGTTCTGTCTTACAGGGTTACTGACACTGAGTTTCACCATATCGAGTGAGTTTCTATCTTCTGAAAAAGAAATTACAGTGCCGTAAGAGTGCTGTAGTGGCGACGAAATGAGATACCACATACAAACTGCCTGGTACACAGAAGGCAAGGAAAGTGACTACATTACATCTATGTCTATCTACATGCTCACTGTTCATGCTTTAAGTAACAGGTAAAAACCTCTTCTATTTTACAATCTGAAGAGTATGTGACTAAGATGACTGCTTGAAATGAATCATTTACTTTAATTTGGTTCTGATTTCATGAAAAAAAGAGTTCTTAAATTATTTCCTAAAGGGAACTCTGGATTATATCCAACCCATTTAGTTTTGTTCTTTTTTTTTCCTTTTGGCAGTTATGGGTCTCAAACCCAAAGCCCTATTTGGCAAGCACTACCACTGAGCTACATGGTCAGCCACTGTTTACATTTTCAAGTAGCTTTAACTTTTAACTTGGGATATATACAAAAGGAAGCTAGCATTAAGGAAAATAACCAAGTCTACCCCACATGGTATATGTGATTTAAACAAAGTAAGACATTCCAAGGGTAGAGATATATTAGATGTGGAATGCCTAACGAGCCTCTGGAGGTTACTACTTTCTCACACCATGTTTTCCCATTGCCTTCCATACCAAGAGGTATTCTTGTATTAAAAAAAATAACTGGAGTACAAAATGCAAGGCACTGTTTTCTAACTCAGCACTTTTGAATGCTTCATGCATTACCTGAGGGCAATCCATTACCCCTTAACTGCTCGTACCCCACTATTTGTTCTCTGGATTGCACATAGCCAGTGTCAAGAACTGATTAGCAGATTCAGTCTAGGCAAGCTGTAGCTGGCTTTCTGTTCTTGTTGAAACCAAAAGAACACTCCTTTCTTTCTGCATTTTGAAATCTTCAGGTCGACAAGTCAGCGACCATTTCTAAAACATGCAACACATTATGCTTGAGGTGCTATAGAAGATGTGAAAGAATATCAACGAACAGGGCTACTTCCTGTTTTTCCTATCTAACAAAATGGAGTTATTATAGTATATTGGAAATCATATATTAAGGAATGTTGGTTAACCAGTCACCCTTGCCAGGATCAGATATGAAAAGAAAACAAAAGTTGGCAACAATTCTAGCTCTGATATTTCTCTTCCAGAATTATACTTAATAAGGTTAATCTTTGAAAAATGCATTAATTTTCTTGCCTGATTTAAAATGAAACTTGGAGACAATTCATAAGTGCAAAACTTAACCAATTCATTTAAGACTGATCTATTGTGACTGCCTCCAGCCTTTTATTTTAAAAAAAATCACCAACTTAATTCTTTAAGATTTATTTTTAGGTATTCTTGTATCACCTCTTGAATAAACTGTCACTAAATATTTTTAGCTTCTAAAAGGAAGTGAAACTGAGGGCTATATGCAGATATGAAAAAACCTATGAAATGGCTTTTGTTTTAAGCAAAAACTAACATTAACAAGTACAGTGTATCTTGTTCTTTCATGGGGCCAGCAAATTGATAGTTTGGTTTTTTTTAAGTTACAAAAATAGGATGCAGTAATTACATCTACCAAACTCACAATAGCCTGTTCAATGAGAGTAACACTGTAATTTTTCTTCAAAGACAGTAAAGCCCCTAACTCTATAATATGAGGAAAAATACCTAATGCTTAGACATCACTTACCAGCATAACACTCACTGATTTCAGTTAGTACCCCCAAAAGGGGGGGCAGACACAAAATCAATGAATATTGTCACAGAGCTTATGGCTTACAAATACCCTTTCTACACTTTCAATTTATATATTCAAAGACCAGACTAAAAGGAAATATGAATTTTTTTAAATCACAGAATTCTCTTAAAAACTATACAATAAAGTCTTTAAATAGACAGATGGGGCTTAGGCAAAAATATTTTAATATTTTAAAAATACTTTAAAATCTTAGCTTAAATTTTTTCTCTAATTTATGAATATAACTACTGTCATAAAAGGAAAATGTAAAGTTCAACTGTAATATAAATGCAAAATAAACATGTACAGTTCAGTTTCACAGAACTGCTTCTCATCAGCTGTTTTTCTGAAACTTCAAACCATAAAGTATAACAACACAACATTAATGACACTTTTTATACCAACCAATTCAAAGGAATTTCAAGCACTCACAAAAGCAGAAAAAGCCAATCCATTATATTTAAAAGGTTTAGGGAGTCAATATTTTACTACAAATGAAACTTTAACATATGACATTATGCTTGCTAACATTATTTTATAGCCTGTGCAATTATAAATACTTCTAAAAGTGCTAAAATTAAGCGTGGATTACCCAGCCACTTAATTCTACCTACCTTGACCTTACTATACCTATTTCGTGTCAAAACAATATTAAACAACATCTGGGCATTTTTACAGTGGTTGCCTTTACATTCTACCCATAGCTCACTAAACTGACTAGAATTACACCCAAAAGACATGGTCTCATGAGACTAGGTAAATTTAATTTCTCAAATTTGTTTTTTTTTTAAATCTGGAGTAATTTGTGCAACAATGGCCTTCTAAGAATGATTTCTAGTTAAGTTTTAATCCAATCTGCACAGAAACAGGAAACCACAGAGGAGCCTAACTGCTGTAAGAATACGTGTACAAGTGCACGCAGAACTGCACAGTCACAAATCTACTTTTGTCTTAACATTGCGAAGCTGCGGTGCCGAGCACAAGTTTTTAGCTTTTTATTTTTTTGCGCGTGGGGGGGAAGCAGCTTCCAAAACAGACCGTGATTTTACACACACACACACACATGCACACACACACGCACGCACACGCACGCACGCACGCAAAGGTCAACTTACTTTAGCTAATGAGCCAAACCCAAGGACTTCTTTCTACTGTCAGATTCATTTTAGGATTAAGACACGTCCATAGTAAACACCAGTGAATTCTACAGGGCACTTTGCGGGGATGGGCAGCATGCTATGTCCGTTCAGATCGTGCGGTTTCGCACGGGCTGATCAGTCTATAAAAACAAACAGATTCTACCTATCACTCGCAAAGTCATTTCCTCCAACAGAATCCACCGCCCCCCCCCGCCCCCAGCAGCCAAAACAGGGCGAGGCCAGCCAGTCCCGGGGCTGCACTACCTGACACAGCAAGCTTCCCCCCCGCCGCTGGGCCTGAGCACTGTCCCTGA